TATTATCATTGTTACTACATTTACAGATGATGACAATAATGGTGCTAAAAAGTTATTTTTCATTAGTTTGAACTTGGCTTTAAATTTTAGTCTGTTTCATTGTAGCTGTATAAGTTTAGAGGCTCAGATAACTTCTTAATCCTCAATTTAATTAGGATAGGGTAATAATAATAATGATACCTGCCTTGCACACACGCACACATATTCATATATTAAAATACTAAAAGCAGTCATATGTGATAAAAGCTGACCAACATAATGTCTTCGTGTGGAAGGCTCATAAACTGAAATTGGTAAAGTTTCAGCAGAAGCATGATAGGGATAGTAGTTACTTTTATGTGGATATTCTTCTAGATGCTTCAATTCAAGCAAGGAAATTAAGCAGAGTGTGGTGTAACACACATGTAAGTCTTGTCTACTTGAATGGCTAAGACAAGGAGATCACTTCAGATTAAGAACTCAAAGCCACCCTAAACAACTTAAGAAACCTATTCTCAAACCTAAACAAAATAAATAAAGCAATTTAAAATGTTGTTACTACATCATGACAGTATCTCAAGAAATGAAGTATACCAACTAAACAAATTTGTGAGCTAAAGTCAGCCCATCTACAGAGAGGGTCTAGCCTTGATATCTGTGATTTTGCTAAGTGATGACAGTAGTTAAATAAAGAACTTAAGAACAATGAACTCTTTTGACCCTGGTGAAAATGTGAATTTCAAGGAAGAAATTTCTCATACGGGATTTTAGGAGCATCATCAATATTTGGAGCAAGGAGAAAAACTCTGGAAGCCACAGACAGTCTCAGTGGTGCTAGTGCACAAGGAAAGGCAAACTGAAGAGGGAAGCTTCCACCATTCAAACTCACATGCCTGTGAAGCCCTGCATGTCATATCCACCTTTACTAAACCAACATAAAGATCATTATCCCACTCTAGTAATAGCATGATAGCCAGCACACATGAGGCTGTTCTTAACACCCAGGATTGTATTGGTTTTTTTATCTTATTTGAGTCTCACAATAGTACCTCATTGTAGGTCTCATTAATGTCTTCATATGGCAGATGGAAATGCAATGCTCAGGAAATTTAGCTTAGCACTGAGGACTCTTAGATGGCAATTAGTAAGTCTCATGTGCATCTCTTCTGTAAATCCAAGCTTTATGTCTGCTATCTCTCATGATATGCCAACTCTAAGAGCTACATTCACAGGTTGAACTTCTTTCTACCATTCCAGTTATCCCATCACCTCTACTATACATAAAGATGTACTCTACTGATTCTATGTGCTCAGCAAACATTACCTGGTATTACTAAGAAGTAAATACTGAAAATAAAAAAAATTAAATCTGTAACACATGGAATCTTGTATATTTTGTACATTTAAAAGATATATTTAGGAATTGATTTTAGAATTTTTAATTACATAATTTTGACAAACATCAGTTTTATGTACTTATGAAGTACAATGTGCTGATTTGTAAGTACAGGTGTTATGGAAAATAGTATGAGGGTTGCAAATAAACTAAAACTAGAAATTTCATATCCAGAAATATCCCTTTGGGAATATATCCACATTCCCATATATATGGATTGGAACACGATGTTGACAAAGATGAACATCTTACCTTTTGTGAAAACATGGGTGAAACTTAAGGACACTACAAAGTGAAGTAAGCCAGACAGAAGAATACAAACTCTACATGACCTTGCTCATGCAGAATCTAGAAAAGCTAGCAACATTAGACAGAGAAAAGGGTAATTCTCAATGTCAGGAATGTGGGGAAATCAGAAGATTTTGGTCAAGTGACACAAAGTTGAAACTGTAGGGTGAACAGATGTACAGATTTAATGTACAGCATGAAAGTTACAATTTCCATTTCTTTAAATTGCATTGATATATCAAGGTAAGCCTTGATAATTCTTCTTATAGGCATATTACATTTTTATTATTTTTGCTACATTTTATTTTACAATATTTCATTTCACCGTGCCATTTATCATAAGTTCTGATTGATTAGCATTTTATGGATGTAACCCTTTCTCTGCATGTTGCCAGTATATCTGTTGGATTTTTTTATATATTGCAATAAATCTTTCCATTTCTCATTTTAAAATATAAATAAAAAATAAAAATGTGCTACACTGATTCAACAGTTGAATTTATTTTCAGTGTACTCATAGGTTTATGTTTTTAGTCATATCATTGTCTATATATATAGATATATAGATGAAATCATAGTAACAAACATGATTTATGGGGAAAAGTTTAAAATGTAAATTCAGAGTTGTTAATTTATTTTTTTTTTCATTTTTCTTTTATTATTCATATGTGCATACAAGGCTTGGTTCATTTCTCCCCCCTGCCCCAACCCCCTCCCTTACCACCCGCTCCTCCCCCTCCCGCTCCCCCCCCCTCAATACCCAGCAGAAACTATTTTGCCCTTATCTCTAATTTTGTTGTAGAGAGAGTATAAGCAATAATAGGAAGGAACTAGGGGTTTTGCTGGTTGAGATAAGGATAGCTATACAGGGCATTGACTCACATTGATTTCCTGTGCGTGTGTGGTACCTTCTAGGTTAATTCTTTTTGATCTAACCTTTTCTCTAGTTCCTGGTCCCCTTTTCCTATTGGCCTCAGTTGCTTTAAGGTATCTGCTTTAGTTTCTCTGCATTAAGGGCAACAAATGCTAGCTAGTTTTTAAGTGTCTTACCTATCCTCACCCCTCCCTTGTGTGCTCTCGCTTTTATCATGTGCTCATAGTCCAATCCCCTTGTTGTGTTTGCCCTTGATCTAATGTCCACATATGAGGGAGAACATACGATTTTTGGTCTTTTGAGCCAGGCTAACCTCACTCAGAATGATGTTCTCCAATTCCATCCATTTACCAGCGAATGATAATATTTCGTTCTTCTTCATGGCTGCATAAAATTCCATTGTGTATAGATACCACATTTTCTTAATCCATTCATCAGTGCTGGGACATCTTGGCTGTTTCCATAACTTGGCTATTGTGAATAGTGCCGCATACATAGTAAAAATGTCGATACTCCCCAAAGTAATCTACATGTTTAATGCAATTCCCATCAAAATTCCAATGACATTCATTAAAGAGATTGAAAAATCTACTGTGAAATTTATATGGAAACACAAGAGGCCACGAATAGCCAAGGCAATACTCAGTCAAAAGAACAATGCAGGAGGTATCACAATACCTGACTTCAAACTATATTACAAAGCAATAACAATAAAAACAGCATGGTACTGGCACAAAAACAGACATGAAGACCAGTGGAACAGAATAGAGGATCCAGATATGAAGCCACACAACTATAGCCAACTTATCTTTGACAAAGGAGCTAAAAATATACGATGGAGAAATAGCAGCCTCTTCAACAAAAACTGCTGGGAAAACTGGTTAGCAGTCTGCAAAAAACTGAAACTAGATCCATGTATATCACCCTATACCAAGATTAACTCAAAATGGATCAAGGATCTTAATATCAGACCCCAAACTCTTAAGTTGATACAAGAAAGAGTAGGAAATACTCTGGAGTTAGTAGGTATAGGTAAAAACTTTCTCAATGAAACCCCAGCAGCACAGCAACTAAGAGATAGCATAGATAAATGGGACCTCATAAAACTAAAAAGCTTCTGTTCATCAAAAGAAATGGTCTCTAAACTGAAGAGAACACCCACAGAGTGGGAGAAAATATTTGCCAACTATACATCAGACAAAGGACTGATAACCAGAATATACAGGGAACTTAAAAAACTAAATTCTCCCAAAACTAATGAACCAATAAAGAAATGGGCATATGAACTAAACAGAACTTTCTCAAAAGAAGAAATTCAAATGGCCAGAAAACACATGAAAAAATGCTCACCATCTCTAGCAATAAAGGAAATGCAAATTAAAACCACACTAAGATTCCACCTCACCCCTGTTAGAATAGCCATCATCAGCAACACCACCAACAACAGGTGTTGGCGAGGATGCGGGGAAAAAGGAACCCTTTTACACTGTTGGTGGGAATGTAGACTAGTACAACCACTCTGGAAAAAAATTTGGAGGCTACTTAAAAAGATGGACATCGATCTACCATTTGATCCAGCAATACCACTCTTGGGGATATACCCAAAAGACTGTTACTCCAGAGGCACCTGCACATCCATGTTTATTGCGGCACTATTCACAGAGTTGTTAATTTATTTGGGAGCCTTTTCCAGTTGAAAGGAACAGATAATCTTTTGGTTTTGTATGTTTGTTTGTCTCACCAACAATGAGAGACAAATATATATTGAAAGAGATCATATTAACATCAAATAAATCACTTGCATAGCTCCCTGTGAAAACAGAAATACTGAACTTGAACCAAAGGTGACAAGAATAATATTAGTGAACTTTATTTAGACACAATTTAGATTCTGAGACTTAGGGAACACCATTGGATCATTGGATCAATGTTTTCGTGAGTTCAAAGCAGAGTTTTCCAATTAATACTTAAGTCATATTAGTAAATTGCTCAACTCCATATTCTGCATAATTTACATGATTATAACAACAAACCCAAAAATACTGTTGAGAAGACACAGTTGATGCACATATAAAGTGTCTGCAACCATCGTTGGCAGGTGAACAACACTGAAGTATTAGATTTGAGTGAGCTCTGGAGTAATGAATTGACAGATTCATCCACAAAAGCTGCTTTCATCAAGTTATTAAAATGTCTACATTTCAGTTGACAATTAAAAAACCTTAATATTGGGTAGCTGAGCCATTGGCACACTTCCAGTTCCATAGTATGTAACACTGTAGGTTTTTAATGTATCAAATTTGGTTTTCTGGACTATTTTTTTCTGTAGAACATCCAAGTACAAGTTGTTGCTCAGTGAAATGGCATATTTTGTAATTTTGTAGTCCAGTTTCAATTCAATTATTTATCATTCTCTTTCTTTTTTCTCATAGCCACAGAGAATCTAGTGACTCTCCTGTAACTTCAATGGAGAACAAGACAGAAGTGACACAGTTCATCCTACTGGGGCTGACCAATGACCCAGATCTTCAGGTTCCCCTCTTTGTAACTTTCCTCCTGGTCTATGTCATCACTCTAGTTGGGAACCTGGGGATGATCCTACTAATTCTCTTGGACTCTCATCTCCACACTCCCATGTACTTTTTCCTCAGTAACCTGTCTCTGGTGGATTTTTGTTACTCTTCAGCTGTCACTCCAAAGATCATGGCCGGGCTCCTTATAGGAGACAAAGTCATGTCCTACAATGATTGTGCTGCTCAGATGTTCTTTTTTGGAGCCTTTGCTACTGTAGAAAATTACCTCTTAGCTTCAATGGCCTATGACTGCTATGCAGCAGTATGTAAGCCCCTACATTACACCACCACCATGACAACAAGTGTCTGTATAAATCTGACCATAGGTTCCTATATCTGTGGTTTTCTGAATGCCTCCATTAACATTGGTGAAATATTCAGCCTCTCCTTTTGTAAGTCCAATATAATCCATCACTTTTTTTGTGATTTTCCAGCAGTTATGGTTCTCTCTTGCTCTAATAGACATGCTATTGAGCTGGTTTCTGTTTACACAGGGAACTTTAATGTCTTTTTTGCTCTCCTAATTATCTGGGTATCCTACATATTCATTTTTGCAAGCATCTTGAAGATTCACTCAGGTGCTGGACATCAGAAAGCTGTGTCCACCTGTGCCTCCCACTTTTGTGCAGTCTCCATTTTCTATGGGACAATTATCTTCATGTACTTACAGCCCAGCTCCACTCATTCTATGGACACAGACAAAATTGCATCTGTGTTTTATACTATGATAATTCCCATGCTGAATCCTATGGTATATAGCCTGAGGAACAAGGAGGTCAAAAGTGCATTCAGGAAAAAATTTTGGAAGCAACATAATTATTAAAATGTTAATGTTATGAGATATCCAAAATGTTGGTACATACCACTCAGATCTTTTTTACGAACTAAGTCACATTTTTAGCCCCCAGTTGAAGTTAATTTTCTGTAGTAATATACTTCTGCATGTCTATATAGAGCAAAGAAGCACCATATTCTGAATGATAAAACCTGAATGAGAATGACTAAGAAATCGTGGGTTCTGCTTATCACTACACTTATTAATAGTATCGATACAATGTTTTTAATGGATTCTATATTAGCCACTATCATTTTGTCTGCAGATAATTATTTAACAAAATATCCATGCATGTATATATCTGAAATAGATTTAACATAGAATATATATATAATCTCCCTATTGGTCTTTATAGACTACTCACAAGAAGAAATTTCATGATCACTGGGATGGTCTGAGACATTCTGGACAATTTTATGGTAATTTGTTAACACTATGTTCATTTTGATTATAGCTCTCTCTACTTCAGTGCTGATTTGTAGAGATTGCTGTCTCTACCCACACAGCAAATAAGGAATTTTGTATTCACCACATATCCTGGAGCAGAATTGAGATTTAATATGTTTTAGTTAAATGCATGAATTAGATCATTCAAGATATTCCCTGTGTGTTAGAACTAGGCAAATTTTATTTTTACTTCTAAGTATATATGCAGAACATATTTAGTATAAAGTAACCATTAGTGGTAAAGATTTTGGGAAATAGATGCTGAAAACACTTTGTGTTTCAGGCATTGTGTCAGAAGGGGTCAATATTCTTCTTCTTTTTTTTTAATGTATAAAGCAGGAGAGTTGATGGAGATAGAAAAGTGTAAAGTGGGAGAGTAGAGCACCCAGAGTTGGAAAACATTCTTAAATTCAATTGTTACAACCTGTGTAATAAGTACACAGAGCATATATGAACTGAGTGATCACTAAACATGACACTGGACTCAAAGAATGTCAGTAACACTTTTTTTTTTATAGTACTAGGATCTCAATTCAAGGCTGCTAGGCAGGTGCTCTATCACTTCTGCAATTCCACCAGCCCTTTGTGTTGTATATTTTCAAAATGAGCTCTCACAAGCTATTTTCCCAGGTTGGCTTTCATATATGCCTTCTGCCCTATGCCTCCCATGTAGCCAAGATTTATAGGCATAAGCCACTGGTGCCAGATTGGCAATTGACATGCTGAATCTATCTTAGTTAATTATCAGTTCAATTTATCTGTGCAATGCATATAAATTACTGGATAAACTTGTCCTTGTAATACACTCAGTGTGAATAGCCTCCTGAAATGCCTTTCCAAGTAGTTACATGAATCTCTACAACTGTTACATTCTCTTTCTCTCTCTCTCTCCCAGCCTTTCACCTCTTCCCTCCTCACCTTCCTTACTCACTCACATTCCTACATAATCTTCTTAAATGATTTTTGATTGTGTCTTACATTGTACCTATTTTTACAATATGAGTGTACCTCTCTATTTTATCACTTCATATTTTATCAGTATAGAATCACTATCTGCTAAAACATTAGTAGTATGTGTTGCAATAATAGTGGTAGTAGTAGTAGAAGTTGATATTAATGAATACTTGCTATAAAATTGACATTACACTAAGCACCTACATGATCTAATTTATTAAATATATCTGGAAGGTTCAAGATGGTGGCTAGGGCAGGGAACAAGAAACCCTAAGCTCTGTGATACCAGAAACCTCCTTGTGATATCAGAACTACACATGGGTAATTCTGATTGCCTCTGTCCAAAATAATAAACACTGTCACATTTGGTGCAGATAAAATTCAAAGAATGACCCTTAAATCAGACTTTAATTGCAACTAACAGTCCCAAAAATCCCATGTGGCACAGCTAGCCAAGCATGTCCAACCCTGGGGGAAAAAATACCATGTCCGTTGCCTTCTTTTTTTTTTTTTTTTCATTTTTTTTCTCCCAACAAGCAGAAGACAGAGCATCAATCAGAATCAAACTCTGCCATATCCTGGAACCCTAGCTTGTGGAAAGCCTCCCTACACCATGCTGTACTGAAAAAAGTGGTGCCATTTTTCTCCGCCAGCCAGCTCCAAAGCTGCTTGCGTGAAACTGCAGAACAAACAGGTGAACATCATGCCGCATGTGCAACTCCCTACCTACAGCCCCCCTGGAAAATAATAGGGACAGACTGAACCCCCCCAAGCAAAGCTGAAAACATAAACAGTGAACTATAATATAACAATAACAGCAGAGGTGGGGCTGGAACACTGAACCTACCACAGAGAATGGGGGTGGTGCAAGGAGCCAAACTCTCAGTGAACAAACACAGGTAAAGCAAAAAAGGCTGAGAGCAAGAGTGGGGTGACAAGCCAACCTCCAAAAGGAGCTATAAGCACCTAGCAGAGATCAGGAGAGGCATAAAGGCTGAGATTGGGAGTGGTCCAACCTCCCACAGCATTGCAAGTGGTAGATTCTGAAGCTAATCACTGGGACAGAAAGCAGCATTCAAAATTGAATTGCCCCACCTTGCTAGGGGAGGAGCTGATCAAACATAGCTGCAGCTGAATGGTCATGCAGCTGCTGCTGGTAAAAATAACAGTTCTGACCTCCCTACCCTAGATGGCAGTCTTACCTCACCTATAATTCCAACTAATCTTGTGGACAAAAGGACCAAATACTACTCACAAGCCAGTTACTTGGTGAAACTACCTAAGAGCTTAAGCTTGCATGGCAATGCCAGGATTGGAAAGCTAAGGAATAACTATAAAACTATTAACAAAAGACTGAAATTTGTGGTTCCTGAACCCAGTGTATTTTATTGAGTTTCATTTTTTTCCCCCTGTACTATTAACTTTACCATCACTATTCTCTTATCCCTATTCTTACTGTTTTTACTTTCCCTTCTTCTGCTGTGCTACAATCCATTGTTCTCCCTCCCAACTACTCTTTATGCCCCTTCTCATCCACTCTTTCCCCCAACTTCACCTCTCTCTCCTATCCTCCTCTAACCTGTCACCACACTACCCTTCCCTTCTACACACTAACCACCTGCTGACAAGTATACTGTACCAACTGTACACAACATCAGGTGCCTGCAACCCCTGACAAAAGCACCCTAAACTACAACAGAAATACATCAAAACACACACAAGAGCCACAAAAACTCAGCAGCCCCCCTACCTCTCCCCCACCCAGCCCTTTTCCCACTCCCTCCCCCATTTTTAGGGCCACCTTTACTAATTCCCCAAAATCTATAACTAGTCTAATAACCATTAACCCCCCCAAATTCCACTGTTTATAGATATTACCATCAAGGGATTTCCTATACAATATGTAAACATCTGGTCTGGCATTGAACCTGTGATTTTGTTATTGCTAAATTACAACTCCAGGCCAGGGACAGAAAGAGCACATCATAGCTGACAACCACATCAGTCACAACACAAAAATTAAATCAGGGAAAGAAAACAGGCAATGAAAATCACCAGCTATCCTATCAAAAACATAGTTGCACAGCACCAAGTGGATCAATAGGAAGAAAGGATGGAAACCACTCTCCTAAAAAAATAATTTGATAGATGATTTACTGGGAAATGAAAAAAATAGATACCCAGTTCCTGATCTCAACAAAACAATGATAAATGTCTCTAAGGAGCCCAGGAACACTCACATAAAAACCCTCAAAGAAGAAATTTTGGAAGATATCACTGAGAAGTTCATGGAGAAGTTACTATGCAAGGTTCACCAGAATGTACAAGATGCACTCAAGAAATTTCAAGACAACAATAACAAAAAAAGAATATGAGAAGGCACAGAAAGAAATAAAGAAACTCAGGATTTCAACAAACACCAAAGAGAAGCAAAGGACACTACAAAAAAGGAAGACATGAATTAAAGATGACAACACAAAATATAAAGGAGGAGTTGAACAAAGATATGGAAAAACTCAGAAAAAACAAACAGAAATCCTGGAAATAAAAAGTTCCTTTAGTCAAACAAAACATAGTGGAAGGCCACTCCAGCAGACTAGAACAAATGGAAGACAGAATCTCAGATTTGAAGATAAAATAGAAATTAATGAAAAAATAAAAGAAATATTAGTCAAACAACTCCAGAACTGTGAAAAGAATATGCAAGAACTCAGCAACTCCATAAAAAGACCAAACCTGAGAATCATGGGCATTGAAGAAGGAGAACAGATTCAAATCAATGCAAAACATAATGTATTCAATAAACTAATAACAGAAAATTTTCCAAACCTCAAGAAAGTTTTGTCCATTCAGGTGCAGGAAGCCTCCAGACACCAAACAGACTTGACCAAATAGAACCTCCCTACAGTATATTATCATTCAAACAATGAGCACAGAGCACAGTGAAAGAATATTTAAAACTGTAAGAGAGAAAAAAACAAATGATATATAAAGAAAGGTAAGCCCATCAAAATAACAGCAGGTTTCTCAAAGGAAACCTTAAAAACAAGAAGGGCATGGAGTGAGGTATTTTGGACATGAATGAAAATAACTTCAGCCCTAAGATACTCTGCCCAGCAAAACTATCATTCAAAATGATGGAGCAAAAAAATCTTCCACAATACACAGGAAGTAAAACAAAATATGACCCCCAAGCCACCACTACACTTCTGTACAAGGAATTCTGAGCACAGAAAATAAAAGTAAAAAAAGCCACAAGAGGGTGGGAAGTATCAACCACAGGAGAAGAAAAGACAAGTAATCAGAGAGTAGCATTGGTTTGGCTGCACACAAATCCATAAACAACAAAAACAAATGGCAGAATCACCACATACCTATCAATATTAACACTGAATGTCAATGAACTCAACTCCCCTATCAAAAGACACCATTTGGCAAACTGGATTAAAAAGGAAGATCCGAGGATCTATTGTTTTCAAGAGACCTGTATTATTGACAGAAGTAAACACTGGCTTAGGGTGAAAAGCTGGAAGATTTACCCAGACAATGGCCCCAGAAATTAGGCAGGAATAGCAATACTTACATCAAACAAAGTAGACTTCAAACTTACATTGGTCAAACAAGATAAAAAAGGACACTTCATACTAATAAAAGGGGAAATACATCAAAAAGAAGTAACAAATCAACCTATATGCACCCAATGTCACTGTACCCAATTTCATCAAACATACACCAAAGGACTTAAAAGTACATATAGACTCCAACACAGGGGTAGTGAGAGACTTTAATACCACTCTATCACTAATAGATAGGTCATCCAAACAAAAAATCAATAAAGAAATCCTAAAAATAAATGACACAATAAATCAAATGGATCTAACTTTTGTCTACAAAATATTTCATCCAAGGACAGCACAATATACATTCTTGTCAGCAGCCTATGGAACTTTCTCCAAAACTGATAATGTCTTAGGGCACAAAGCAAGCCTTTGCAAATATAAGAAAATAGAAATAACACCTTGCATTTTATCTGATCACAATGCATTA